GATGTTTAGAAAAAGCCTCTTACCTTAATGTCTGCAGATCAGGGCGGGGGTGGGGGGTGGGATTAAACCCAGAGTATAAAATGAACTATATCATTGAACACATCGGAATTATATCCAGGAAGGAATTATTTATTTCTGCCTGCCTGTTTCAGAGATCCTTTGAACCCATGGACCCTCATTTGAAGCTTTTTGTGAGAAATAAAGAGGGGGCTTATCCTTAAGCATTAGCACCAAAGTTTGTGTGCAGAAGGAATCAAGTTGTGTCTCTTGCTTGGTATCACCAACAAAAACAAGATCTCTGCCCACAAGTAACATACACAATTACACTAGGGCAGTGTTTCTCAACCTTGTCCACTTTAAGATGGGTGGACTGGGAGTTGAAGTCCACCCATCTTAAAGTGGACAGGGTTGAAAAACACTGCACTAGGGAGATTTAAACCTGTCAGTGGCTAAACATGCAACACATTTATATTCCCCAGTTCTTTTGCAAACAATGACAGAATTTGTTCCTTTGTTTTTTCCCTTTTCTTTTCTTTAAATGCGGATACATTTGATTTTTCAAATGTTATAACAGAGTTTAAAATTACAGCAAATTTTGCAAAACCACAACCCAAGCGATGCAGGAAATGCAGCCTAGAGCCTGAGAGATAAACACAGGGTAAGTAAGGGTCTCTCCCACTTGCCCCTAACCTTGGCACAAACACGCCCTGGCAATTTCCTTTTTTCTGCCATGCCCTCCTGATATGGCCTTCACTTCATTCCCAACCCATATGTGAGGCAGTTGAAACGTATCCTGAGCTTTTCAGGGATAAAGGAGTTCTTTCCCCTTTAGGCAGACACAGTGTCACCAGACAACTGAAGGAGCAAGATCTATCATTCTGCCAGGATCAAGGTGTTCCCTGAGAGGTGGGATCAGCCTGCCATCTACTGGTTACTTTAGGCTGGTGCAAGCCCTGACCCTCCCTCTAGTCTTGACCCTGTTTTCCAGAGTCACAGGTAGCAGAAGAGTCCAGTTCCTTCAAAACGGCTTCTCCTCCCTACCCACCAGATCCCTAAACTGATCTCTCGCTCCGTGATGCGGATCAGCCGTACCAGCTGTAGAAGCAAGAAGGCTGCAGGGAGAAGCAGGAGAAAGGAAGGTGGATCTCTCTCTCTTGCTTTGTGGGGCAACGTTCCCCACCTGTGTCAGCTGTTGTTTGGGGGTGTTTTTTTAATCACTTTTTTTAGCACTTTTTAGAAGAGCACTAAACCCACATCCAGAAGGAGCTCAACAATTAGCTCTGGTTTGGTGCAAATGTTTTTCTGCAGATGAATTCAAAGGGAGTCTGATAATCAGCTGGTAGTAATAGCACTATTCCAGAATAATATTAAACCCTTGTCCAAAAGGAGCTGAGTTCCTTTGAATGACTCCTGTAAAAACAGAGCGAGTTTCGCCAGATGGCTAAATCCAGCGGTCCGACCATTTGTCAAAACTTGCCCGCTTCCAGAAGATTGATTAGTGGATATTTTTTCCACTGGCTAGTAATATGTAGCTGGGGTTGGGGAGGAATACAAAGCTGGTGGGGGGAGGGGGGGAATTCTAGCAACCCCTGACTAGGATACTGTGTTAAGCATCATTTACCAGCATTGTAAATGCTGGTGGCAGGATAGGGATCACCAGTAGGGACAGCAAATGTTTTGCTGCTGTATTTTTCTGCCAGCTCAATGACAGGGCAAAATGTAATATGGATCAACTGCAGATCCATAATATGGATCTATTTATTCAAGATCTTTTGGATCTATAACATTGATCTATTATTTTGACCTTCTGGGGTAGTATTCTACAATAGTAGATTAGAAAGACTGAAATAATAAGAACAATAACAATAATAATATCAATATTTTAAATTCCAAAATATTGTAAATATCCAAGAGAACAGAAGGATTTTAGCTTCACACGGAAGCAATAAGAATGTGTTGCTAGGCAAGTTTTGTGAGGATAATATTTCAGAAGCAACGAAGAAAACACCACCCTAACATCCTTCCCCTGGTTGCTCTCCATGTCCTCCCAAAAGCTTTCTTACCAAGCAAGCAGACGTGCAATTGTGCAAGAGTCTGTGTGCACGTACAGAGAGGTGGACTGTCATCCGTGAACATTTACACAATAACAACTGTGTTAGTCCACAAAGTCCCACAAAACTGTTAACAACAGATAGACGCAGCAAGCTCTTTGTAGACATAAAGAAACACACACACCGCACGCACAAAGAGCCCTTGAGCTGAAAATCTGCCCTGAAACTGCTCCAGGGGCTGATGAAACATTAACAGCTGTAACTTGTCCCCTCTGGGGGTGTGCGTGCAACACACTTAACCAGATCAGATCAAGAGTTAGTGGCTGCATTTTTGCAACATGCTAATCTCAGTTAGTTTTTCTGGCGGCAGGAAGTCAACCTACGTGACGAGTTTAGGCTTCAGGGTATCGGACAAACCCAGAAAATGAGATAATCCGTTAAGGATGCTGGGCAAACCCTACGTGTAAAAATCTGCAATCCACTCCACATATGCTCTTCTTTTTAAGTTACCTCCAGCAAACGGGATCAACATAAGCAGTAGCAACGGTTTCATCCTCTTTTAGATCCTTCTTCCACACCCTCATCACTCCTTCCGACGCTAGAAGAGGTCCTGGGAGGCAGAATCCGGGTGTCCAAAGAGCGGGGTCAAATTGAAGCCACGGGTGAGGATGACGCCATTAGAGAGAGCACGCCTGGAATGCACCCCAAGTTCTAGAGACACAACCTATGGCTTTGTGGGACACCCCATCACCCCCCTCCCTTAAAAAACGAGACACATCCTGCCGTTTCTGTTCTCCATTGTCGAAGATTTCCTGCCCCACACAATGCCTGGGACGGGAAAGATTTCCTGTTACCCAGGGCACTGTTGTCAACACTGAAAAAAGGGTGGGAAAGATTAGGGTGGGTTGCCGCTGAGGAAGAAGAGAACATTGCCAAGAAACAAAAGCAGAGTAGAAGAATTGTGAAAGAGGTTGTGCATGTGCTGGGGTACACATAATGACATGCCATCTTCAGAACAGCTCTCCCGTGGTGGGTAAAGGGTGTGCTGTGGTGAAGCGACAGAGATCTGATCTCAGCTCAGAGGAGATGCATGAAGCTCACCAAATCTTCTCGAGCATCAATGTTCCTTCTATGTTGCGGTGGTTCTACTGATGTTCCTTCCATGTTGTGGAAGGCTGGATGTCTAAATAGCATCTCAGAGGTCTCTCAAAGATGTGGAGGCAGGGTTTTTTAAATTCCCGTTGTCCGTGTTCCTCTAAGACAGTATTTTTCAAACCTAGTCACTTTAAGATGTGTGGACTTCAACTCCCAGAATTCCCCAGCCAGCCTGCTGGCTGGGGAATTCTGGGAGTTGAAGTCCACACATCTTAAAGTGACTAGGTTTGAAAAATCTGGCTGGGGAATTCTGGGAGTTGAAGTCCACACATCTTAAAGTGACTAGGTTTGAAAAATCTGGCTGGGGAATTCTGGGAGTTGAAGTCCATACATCTTAAAGTTGCCAGGTTTGAAAAACATGGCTCTAAGAGTTCTCCACCAGATCTTTCTATTGCCTCCCCTCGAGCCATCTAAGACCTGATTTCTTTGCTTTTCACAGTTTGCTGCCACCAGCTGGGCTCAACCTAGGAAGCTAAGTGGGGCCAGACCTGTTTAGTACTTGAACTGGAGACCACTAGGAAATTCCAGGTTCACAGGATAGATTGGGAAGTTGAACAAGCATTCTAGAAGAAGGAAAGGGTAAACTAATCCCATTTATGAAAAAAAAAGAACCTACACGGAGTTACCAGTTGACTGGCTCTAAAATTATTACTATTATTTTTATTATTATTATTTACAGTTTTCTCTCTTTTCTCCAGGCCCTCTACAGTGGTACCTCCTTACGAATTTTTCGAGATACGACCAGCTCCGGCCCCAAAAATTTACCTCGACATGCGAACTCCACCTCGAGA